AAGATGTTCTTGATTTTGCTGCTGTCGCGAGTGTCGATTATGATGTCCGTGATTGCGGCCCGCGGGAGATTTTCGCGATTTCGTAGGGCTGGGGGTGTCAATGATAATATCCCCGTGATGGCTTCCCGAGGGGGATGTTTACGATTTCGCCACGGCTGCGGATGACAATGCTGATGTACTCATCATCGCAGTCCACAGGAGATTATTTAACACGATTTCGCCACGGCCGCGAGTGTCGATGATGATGTCCTCGTGAATGCGTCCCGCGGGAGGTGTTCACGATTTTACTGCTGTCGTGGGTGATGGTGATGATGTCCTGAAGGTTACAGCTCACGCTATATGATGACGATTTCACCGCGGCCACGAAAGTCAAGGATGACGCACCTTTGTTGCAGCCTGCGGGGAATGTTCATGATTTGCACTTCCCTTCCACTGTGTTCGCGGTCACACTTCCCTATGACGGCTTTGACATGATTTAGGAGGGGTGCTCACGATTTCATCCACGATCATGGGTGTCGATGATGATGTCCCCTTGATGCATAGGAGATATTTACGATTACATCTTTGATCGCAAGAAATTTCTACCACAGGGGGAGGGCCTCTTAATTAATTTGGCCTAGGGCCGCAAGTACCCTAAATCCGGCACTGTTCGGAGTATGTGTTATATTGAATTTATATGTATTTTAGAACTCTTTCACGTAAAATCCATGGGATGTGTTTCCATCCACGAATCACGACACTTGTTAGAGGAAGCGAAAAATATAGCTGTAGAGGGTGTTAGAGCCGACGTTCATTGATCAATGCCAGTTTCGTACCACCCTGTGCAAAGGTAGGGCGAAGTGTCATGGGTAAGTGAAATAGAAAACATTGTTAACATTTTTCTAGTGTTAAATGTTTGAATACAATTTACAACAATCATTAATCTATTGTTGAACTTTCTTCTTACTCAGACGATGACTCATTAAACAGCTTTAGGCCTTTAAAAGATTATAACTTCGTCATTTATATTATAGTCCAAATCCAAAGTGAAATAGATTTTCAGAACTAATTCCGTGCGTGGAAAGACTGTTAAAAGTATATTGTGGGAAAAATCTTTATTTGAAAACATGCAATTGACTCACTAACTTACTGAAAAGACAGTGTTAAGCAAAAATAAACAGAGCGACAAGACGTTATTATTTTAGTTATACAATGTTACACAATAAAATGTAGATGCGGGATAGACATTTCAATTAAAAAATATCACTTATTATTAATAGTTACCTAGTCTTTTGTTTTTATAAAACTTGGATCGTAGTATTATAATAATGTATATATAAAATAGTACTGTCGAAACTTTCTATTTACAATGCATATCACCTATAGCATTTTCCTCTGCAACTACAGTGAGTGGAGGAAATATACTAACCAGTATGGTAGAGGTTTTGTGTTTATTATTTTTCTTACGATTACATAGTAACAAGGCATATTATCTAAAACTTTCACACCCTTGGTATAAATTAATAATTCATTAAAGTCAATTACAAATTTAGTGTAAATAAAAAAATATGTTTTCTATTTTTGTTAGGCACACAATTTTAGATTCGTAATTACTGCTTTACATAAAGAAAAAATCCACTTGCCAATACAATGTTCTTTTAACGCTCGATCTTGACTTAGTTCCTCTAACACGTGTAAGGTAGCAGCACCTACTACAATGATAATGCAGGTTATAGGCTAAGAAGTAGGGCGGAAGTAGGGAGTACAGGTTGTAGTTGGCAGTGAACAGTAAAGGACACATTGTGTAGTTTTTAAAATAACTTTATATTCTCAGTGTGAACAAAATAATATAGACCTTAACAACATCATACAAAATTGATAGTCTAAAACAATCGTTAGCATGATATTAAAACAATAATTATAACCAAACTGTAAACGTATGGATGTATGAAATAACTAAATTCAGCAAATTAGAAATAAATAGGAAAAAGTTTATTACATTGCCTTTATATATTTTGAAGATTTGTGGTAGGCCTCTGACCTTTCGCTAATAGGACGTCATTTTGGAATTATGGCCATGTTAACTCCTTAATCAATCCTTAATGTTAATCTTAATTGGTTGTGTTGCTAGCCTAGTGGTTAGCGTCTCGGACTTCGGTGCGGGAGGGACGGGTTCAATCCCCGGCACATCCACTAAACATTTATCTCCCGTACCGGTAACTCTCTTGTGAAATGCCACTGGCGTTGAAAGAAAAAAAAACCTTATTCATGTGTTCTGTTCCTGCATAACAATATCCAATTGTAACAGGGAACTGTTAACAAACTGAACGCTACTCTTAATATTTACGTAATTAAAAAATAAACAATTGCTTACAATAAATGTTAAGTAGATATTAGATGGCTCGTTGGAAAGCCATTCCAGACTTCAGGCATTATCTTGGTAGAACTACCAGCCATTTCACTATCATGATTGACATCTTCATTCCATAACCGTATATTCACACAAATTAAATTAACGACAAAGCTTGATTGATTATATGAAACATTGTGGTAAATACTGCAAAATCACACATTTTCCGAAAATACAAATTCTTTACGGTAAAAAGAAACTACATTTAGTCATCGATGTATATAAACTAACTAGACTACATACATCGATGCATTTAGTACAATCTTAAAAAAATATATCAACGATCAATATTTTGTTAACAACATAAAAACCCTCGCCACAGCAAACCTGCAGACAAGCGAATTTCCATTTACCTGGCTGGATTTCTACTAAAATATTCCCTAAAAATTGTCAGATTTATTTCCTATTTAATTAACATCAGTTTTAGTGAGTACTTAGGTTTGCTGCTACAGGGAAGATATTGAGATGTGTGTTTATTGCAGTGTCAATAGCTTAGTATTAAATAAACAAAATTTCAAAAATTGGTTTATATCCATAAACAAGCAAACTACAACAGTTTATTTATTCTCCATAAGAATAACTTGGACATTTTTAATTTACAATTTTTTTATTATCCCCGTAACCGATAGGCATACAACAACGCCTCAAGATACAAAATTGTTTCTTTTTTTTAAGCTCTACAAAATGGTTTGGAGAGAAATTATGAAATTTTGTGTAAACGGAAAAGCAAATCGGTCCCAGTTCTAGGCCCTACCATGAGATCTGCGGTAATAGCTTATTCCATATATGGGAAATTCGCTAAAACATTAAAATTTTAGTAACTGTTTGCAGAATAAACCAGTTGTTCGTTTAACAAAACAAACTTAAAATGTACTGAAACCTAATGTCGGCCGCTAGACTTTTTCAAAATTAAAATACCATTTGTGAAAGACATAAACCCGAAATTAAAATTATGGCTTCAACATTTCCTTTCTCTCAAAATGATGTTTCTTTCAACAAAAAACCACGAAAGTCTGTGAAGTGGTTGAATAAAAAACCCTCCCACGTTTATAAAAAGATTCTCAGTAGTTTTGAGTTTTATATTAGCGCATTCCTAACTATCTTAGACGTAAGATATGTTTGTAAGCTACTGTTAAACTGACATTCGGACTGAGCAAAGTCTACATGGGGTCCTAATTTAGCTAGCTGTATCACATTTAGTTAGCTGTATCGTACAGTAAACATTGGTGGTTAGCAGGAATTGAACCAAAGCTTTCTGAGCAAAAATCCCGTGCTATCAACACTAGACCTGCATCAGTGCCTTAGATAGTACAAAATGTATAGTATTTAGTACATATACCATGCAAAAGAGATGTTTATATGATAAAAATACTGATCTTCTCTCACTGTCACACATGACAATGTGAAAGGCATTTTGGTGACGTGATGCACTCAAAGTCATTTGAATGTTAAGGCTCTTGAATCTACAAATACATAAACATAAAGGTTTTTGAAATTGTGTTATACCTTAATGCAATTAAAAAGTTTTCTTTGGAGATAAGCACTGCAAGACAAAGCAGACAATAATCAAATCAAGCACAGATGACGTGGGTCGAGATGATTTGTGTTGTTTGTGTTCTAACTTGTTTGCAACTGAATCCTCCTTCGCTTTTGTAGTTTGGCTTCACGGCTGGAGTGGATTAAACATAGTTCTAACGTTGGTTTGAACGGTCAAGTTTAACTGGGGCGAAAAAGACGAATTCTTCTCTCATTTATCAAATAAGTGGCACAAATATGATTGTTGGTTAACTTCACTGCCTACGATTGCTACGCACTGTGCACGTCTATTTAGAGTGAAGAGATATAGACATCCTATCTTTGTGGAGTGTGAACCAATGATGAAAAAGTTAATGTAAATCGAACACAGTTGAATGAGCAACTCACATAGTGACTGACAACGAAATGCAATGTTCTCTTTTATCTTTTGACACTGTGAGCTTTTAAATTGTATGAAAGATGCTATACGGACGGCATAACACTTGGTTGTTTTAGTTTTATGGACATTTTAGTTTCACTTGGTTGGGTAATTGGAATCAGGTAATTGTCGGTGGCCTCAATTAAGCTATAGTCATTTATATCCCCCAACCAATAAAAATGGAAATTAAATGTCGAGTTCTATACACTGTGAATACTGGATACAATATATATACAGAATGTTATACAGGATCCTCAATATTATATTACTTTTGGCGAACGCATCGTAAGAAAAAAAATATTCGGATATCTCCATTATGTGAGTAACAGGCCCACTTTTATAAACGGGCAGACTGAGCATATGCCCAGGGCGCCGAAGGTTTTGGGGCGCCCCTCAACCACCGCCTGCCCGCCCTAGGGAAAAATGAAGGCACTGGTTTTGGGTTTGCCCAGGGCTCCACCGCTCACTTCACATCGTTACATGTAAAACTGTTCAAATCATTTCGTATCATAGTTTTTATTTTGCAATTTTGTTCTACCAGCAATAAAATTAACTTTTATTAAGATCACAAGGTATACTGAGTTACCTTCAACATGTACGTCTTCTAAGAAGTATGAATAATCTAATATTCTATAAATAACTAATTACACTGTTCCAGGGAATGTGTGTGAACGTGGTAGAAGAGGCAGCCCACAACTTTAAGTCTGCGGTTGGGAGTAAACTTTCTATTCAAGGTGAAGGAATTTCTCACTTAAGTTATGAATTTAAATATCACAAACTGGGCTTAAAATATTTAACCAGAAAATAGTATCGTTTCTGAGCGTCGCTGTACGATGTACATTATCGTAATATCTTGTTTACATGTTGCTATTGTAAAATATTTAACAGATACAAAGGACTTCTTTTAACACTTATTAATTATAGTTAAATAATTTATCTATTGTTTTTTATCTGTGTAATTCATTGGTACTCTTATTCGAATAGTTGAATGGTGCCCCATCTATATCGTTGTTATATGAGTTTCATTTTCGCCTTTGGCATTTTTCCGGGTCTTCTAATGGAACGGTCCAAAAACCTAGCCTTATGACTACCTATCATCAAACTCCCTTTAGGTAGATAAATTATCCAACGAAAAATGGCTTTTGGGCTCAAAATCAACCCCGGGTGGTATAGAACCATAATGACCTTCAGATTTAAAGGCGAGCACTATAACCACTTTACAAGATTACGTTATTATATTTTACCTACGACCGATTTTTTAAGTAGCCGTTTCAGTTCAGTTGTTGTCAGTTGAACAGTTTCTCATAACATCATTGTTAACTTCCATAACAGCATATTCTTACTTATAAAACACAGGCAACGGACCAACAAGGTTCAAGGATTGAGGGAAAAGAAGTAAAACTGTAATGATTCGAACTTAAACTAATCAGCTGTTTAGGCCAATTTAATTGTTGAGTCGTACAATTAGTGTTTAGTACAATGCTTCGTTGCATCACTGTCAGTGGCAATGAGAAAACGAAAACATTACCTCTCATAGACGTTATGAGTAGTGATTTTTATTAATTAATACACTGTCGTAGGTAAAGTTGTGTACGCAACTCGCGTAAATAGTGTTAACGACACTATCTTTAAGCAATTAACTGACACATGGAACCTGTTAATCACAAATACCTTACTATTGGAACCTGGCATCATTCGCGGTAGATATATCTATGAAAAAACATTTTCTTAGAAACATGCCAAAAATAAATTCAAAATTTTTCTCGATTCCATAGTTTGAATTTATAATATGCATCAGGGGAATGGTGCATTACTAATTCATCATGGAGATTGCAGAAGATTATATGGAGGTGATACATTACTTGACCCTTGAACTTTAGTCGCAATATGTATGTAGATATGACTCTGTTTATTACAGCTATTGACTCATAATTGAATCTCCCACATTGCACTTATCAAGTTCTGATTAACACAACCATTTTGCGCCGCTCATTAAAGTGATTGGTCCGAATTACACGCAATGTTTATTAGCAATGTAGGTTTATGATACAATATTATTTTAAACAATAAGAGTGTATAAAAAAGTAGTTTTTATTATAAAGAGAACTTCGTTGACGTACATGAACAAGATACGAACTATACATCAAATTGCTTTACGTGTTAAATACATTATTACATGTACAAATAATACAGTACATTTAAAAAATCAAAATATTAGCAGTGAAAAGTTGTTATGGTCTGGTTTCTTTAATAAAATATTGTTATTAAACGGTGGATACTGAAGATATTATTGTAAACTGACATTACATTAGTCTGTATGTTAATCGGGAATGTGAGCTATCATCACATCAAATTTCAGCCCAATCCGACCAGTATTTTTCGCTTTTACTTGTCACAAACATACATACATCCATACATCCAAACTTCCTCATTTATAATATTAGTAGGATTAGTTCATAAAAATGTTCGTAAGAAACTGTTGGAAGAATGAACGGTGTAATTTCATGTAAAATAGGTAACTTAAATAAATATTTTAAACCTAACGATGTGTATGTTAGTAATAATATTATTATCAGTCCACCCAAAATTATAATTTCAAATTTATATGATTCTATATAAAAATCATTGATATACAGTATGTTTATGAGCTTAGATAAGTATTTTATAAATGGTCAATAATTTTCGTAATATTAATATTTGAGTGTTTGAATTTTACTGTATGTAAATTATCTTATAAGTGTATTTTGAATCAAGTTTCGTTAATTATGCATAATCACAATTTCTCTGAGCTTCCTTTTACAGTATTTGCTTATTGTGTTCGTTGGTTTTACTCAACCATTGTTATTGTGTTAAACTATTAACTTAGAAAGCACAAGGAAACCAGCACCAACCCTCACGTAACATGCAACCATTTGTTATGGCTATTTCATGATTATTGAAGTTCATCACCTAACCCACCAACGTCGAGGAGTGAAACATCATTCCAAAACCAATTTTTGTACAAAAAATGCGAACTTTTTCTACAGCAACCTTAATAAACGTTAAACCTGTTTTAACATTGACTGCAAACTTTCTCTATCCAATTAGCGTCTGTGTCCAACAGAGCTTAGAGGGGTTTTAAGCGAGTATCATCGTTCTCTATTATTACAACAACTGGCGAGTATACGGCTGGCCACGTGTGTGCGTGAAAGCATTCCCTCCCTAAAAAAAATGTCAACATATTCTACATTGTTGGTAAACACCCGACTCAGTCGATGGGCATGTTTAATAGTGAATGACGCTTTAAGGAGACAAAGTCTGTTGTTTAGCAGTTTACCAGTTGGTGCGTGTACTTGATATTGTTCTACATCAACATTATATTTTCAAATCTGTGTAAAACTTAGACATCTTAGAGATTCACGTTGTTCATTTACTTTCACTGAAAGCGATAATTGACTGTATAGCTCTGTTGGGAAAGACTATTTTTAGTTTTAAAATATGATAACTTACTGGTATAAGTTGTAGGTCTAGGGTTTTTTACAGTGTATGTATTTTTCTTTGTTGCTTATTTTCTGCTTCTTTAAATGGCTATTTGTTTGTCATCTTTGTTATACACGCCGGTAGGCAGTAATATATTTATACGACTTTTCATGTGTTATAATTAGCACTTGAATTTTCGCATTGTATTTTACATTGTTGCATTGTAAATTTATTTAATAGGTAATAGTTATTTGTGTAACTAGTGGTGAAAGTGGCACTTTGCTGCACACGAGAGCAATGTTTACTCGCCTGCGGCTCGTGCGGAATGATCTCGAGTGCAGCAAAGGCCTTTTTCACTCGTGTTACACATTATATTTTTCCTACAGTCACCCGACAAAGTTGGCTTCCCTGTACTGTTTATAGTACAGAAAGCTGCTAATTGCTGCATATTTATACTTTGCCGTACGGTTTATACTTTGCCGCACGGTTTATACTTTGCCGCACATCAGGATTCCAACCAAACAACACAAAACAGCGTGGTTTTATTATGCACGTAATCCGTGTACGCTTGGAAATGGGTTGGCAACACTTAAAGATAATAATACTATGAACAGCTGATTGACTATTATAACTACGATTTAACCTGTCATTTCGTGTTTATAGTTTTGGTATTTCTGAACTTTCTGGACTTTTCTTTTAAACGTTTTTAAAACATTCCTACGGTCTTAATAAACAAGAAAATACCTTTAAAGCATTTTTTTAGGCGCGGAAACCACTTCAAATTACAAAAACATACGGAACTATATTCTCAAAAGACGGAGCACATTTCTTGCCGAGGAAAAATAGCGGAGTGATACGGACCACGGGTACTACTTTCTCCAGGGCACCATTTGTGTAATTGTGTTGCTAGCTGAACCTAAAAACGTGTTGTATAGTGTTTGAAAGACTAATTATTTATGTTTTATAGTGACTGTAGGAAAAATAATTTTTTATCAGCATTGTACACGTCTAATAACACTTAAAACACGTGTTTACTCTCATATTGTTTACTCAAAAGACTTTTAATTGTGCATAAAGATTGTATATTAGGTTAAAGACCAGAGACGCCATTCGCCATTTGGGCCATTTGGGGGCGCCAGATGATGATGGGAGTGTCCGATCGAAATCGATCGCCCCTTACTATGTTTTATGTTTATTTACCGTCTTGTGGTCGTTAAGAATATAATTAAGTATAAATATATAATTTAAGTGTTCTTAGACATATTTCTATTTACTTTCCGTTCATAAGTTAACAAACCACAAATTAGTTTTTTCTCTGTCTATATACATAAAGCCAGACTTTTTTGGACATGTGGTTAAAGGTTGTGGTAAAGTGTCATAGTTTTATTCATTATTACAAATACCGTATACCTAGTAATATAAATAAGTTAAAAGTATTATTCGTTATAAGACTACTGTACAATAAATATATTACACGTTTATAGTTTTATTAAATTAAAATAAATCTGAAATTAAACTTTATTTTTACAGACACCCAGAAAGTATGGCATGCTGTTGGAACGTGGATTGAACAAAACTTAAGTAAACACAAGGTGAAGTTTCAGCATTATCATATTTATTAATTTATTAATGAGAAGACTGAATCGTCAATTAAATTCAAACAATAGTTCTTGCCTACTCACCACCGAATAGAACTGTACACACAGTGGATATGGGTAGAAATAGAAATTGCTTCTGATAGGATGATGAAAAATGTTTATAAATATATTACACATTGAAACAATGTAAAAGAGACAAGCCAGAAACAAATGTTTGGCTTACAATATGCGTTTTTAAACGGAGAAACAGTAAAAACAAAATAATAAATCATGGGTACACCATTTATATACACCAGATCTTTATATATTCTTTCACTTTACGTTTTTTAAGCTTTAAATAGTAAATGTCAAATTTTATTGTTTGAATATCAAGACTTTCCATCCCTCAGATTCTGTCAACGACTATGAAATATTGATACAACCTTTTTTACTACAATGACACACGCTTTTACGAACAGCTAGGTTTAACTTACATTAAATCAATACGGAAATAATGAAAGTTTACATTGCAAACTGAACTTTGCCATGATGAAATCCAACGTTTGAAGGGATTATCATTTATTCAGTGATCTAGGATCAAAGCGTTGTTTTCCTGTATAAATTAATTAAATAAATGACAACTTAAAAGGATCACACACGTCCAGTCCATTTCCAGAGATGCTTTTCTAGTTGGGGAAGCTTTATAACACAAAGAATAACATAGTGACCATTAAATTACAGTCATGCTATATGATTCTTCGATTTAACTAAGAATTAACTTCATTTTATTGATATACAAATAATATTGGGTTAATATTGTTTGGGGTACAGTAGGTTTTGTAACATTTAAAATATAACTTTTGGATATTTTCCATCTTTACTTGTTGTGCCTAGTTTTGTAGCTGGAGTTTGTGGGTTGTGGGGATGTGATCTTGTTTTCCTAATTTGTTGTTCCTTATTATGAATTATTCGTAACTAATCGGATTTCTTATAAACTTAAGTGTTTCATTGTTAACCCAAGTATTTTAGCAAACAATAAAAGTTAAATATAGACTTCCTGTATTAGCTCTAGTATTTGTAACACCAACGAGAGGAAATACTTGTTTTTCATCAACAATAGAGTTACTTAACAAAGCATGGGCTTAACAAATTAAAAACGAATAAAACGATTGATTGTTTAGGGTTAACTAGTGTACCTGCTGCCCGAGTTCGAGCAATTGCAAGGTATTACAGGCGTTATTTTAAAACGAATGACACCACCATTATAAATAAAGGAATAAATAATAGACAACTAGAACGAACCAATCAGAAATTATTATAATTTTTTTTCGCACAATTAATCAGCATCGACATATTTGTAATGGAAGTTTTCAAATTACTGGATGGTTTTATTGCCAAAAGGTTTATACGAGACGTCATAAAATAATTTAATCACTGTTCCTGTCACATTAAAACAGTTCAGTGACATTAGATATCAAATTACTGCAAAGTTCAAACTCGTATATTACGTGTAATGAACTTCGTGTAAACCAAAGGCGAAACATTATAGGCCTATCGATGAGGATCGGTTTAAAACCCCGCTAAACACTAATGTTGGTTTATTGACCACGCTACTTGGTGGTTCGGAACCCACTTTTTTTGGTTCTCCTATTAAAAAACAAACAAAAAGCAAAGGAATACAATAGGATGGGTTTCGAAGAAAATGAGAACAGTCTTTGTACCGTGTATCTATCTCCCTCAACATAAGTCAAACATTATATTTACCTTAAGTTAAGTTGTAAAAATTTAGTTTCATACCATAGCAGCATTTTTAGCGAATTTCCCCTATAGGGAATAAATAAGCTATTACCGTAGTACTCATGGTAAGACCTGGCCCCGGGACCGATTTACTTTTTCGTCTTGAGGTCCCTAGAGACCAAAAATACCATCCGTTTAAATTCATATATATATATATTTATTTATATATGTGTCCGTTAGCACGATAACTCGAGCAAAAATCATCCGATTTTGATGAAATTTGGTACAAACGTGTAAACCTACGTTTATTCGAACAAGTTCGCGAACCAGCACGATCGGACTATGGGAACATGGGTTTTATGGGGTAAAAATTGGTTTTTCCCATTTTTGACCCTAAAAATTAAAATTTAGCAATTTCTTTCCAAACCATTTTGTAGAACTTAAAAAAACAAATAATTTAGTATATTGAAGCGTTATTATGTGCCTAATGATTACGGAGAAAATTATAAATAACTGTAAATTTAAAATTCCCATGTTATTCTTATGGAGAATAAGTAAACTGTTGTAGTTTGCTTGTTTATGGACATATTTTGATCAAATTTGGAAAATGCATTCATTTAATACTAAACTATTAACATTTTACAAAATAACTCCTTTTTACCCTCCCTGTTGCAGCAAACCTAAGTACTTGTTAAACTAATGCTATTTAAATAGGGAATAAATGTGATATTTTTAAGGAGACATTTTAGTGTAAATCCAATCAGGCAAATGGAAATTCGCTTAGTCTGCAGGTTTGCTGTGGCGGGGGTATTTATATTCTGTTGTATGATGTTTAAACGTTTGCATATTTAAACTGATATTTTAAAGCCATATTCAATTTCATTCTTTATTGAATCGACACTCTCATCTTCTAGACTCTCACACTATACTTTATAAAGATAAATTAATATGCACACAGAGTAAAACCAAAACTCATTAAATTTTTTGACAACAGAGTACCAAGTACTTAGGTTTTCCAAATAATAGACTCGTTTTGGAACAGTGAGTTACTAAATAAAAGTACAGAGCTATGAAAAGTCATAATATAGATTTGAAATCCAGCCTTGCGTAAATAGCTCGACATATTTCATATTAATAAAACAAAACGTTTATATATCAAGCATCCTTAGTAAAATTCTAAACTTTTTAAAATACCTGTATTAATTTCCTTAAATAATACAATAAAATAATCTCTTCAATTTCTTTTACATTTGGTTTAGGAGAACTCATACTGGGCCCCTGAGTTAAAACAGTTACCAAATTCTTACGAAACCGACCCTCCCTCACAGAAACCTTGAATGAAACTTTTTATCAATGACTTCCTAATATTTACCCAAAGCACGTTCCGAAAGTGCAGGTTTAAATCTCCTCTCCCTAAACCATCCCACGTGGAACGTTGTTGGACTTGTTAATTTATTCTCTTCTTAAAGCCACGTGGTCATTCGTTTTATTCACCACTTTTCTTAAACGTTTTAATCAACTAATAGGATCGATTTACACCATTTTATCGCACTTTCCACTGATCACAGAACTGCGTCGATGGGAACTTATCGATTTATGATGGAATCGGCTAAATACCAGAATACAACTGTTATTACATAGTGAACTGAGCTATTACATATAGTAATATGAACAAATATCAAGGACATGTCATATTATTTATAGTGTTAAAAATCACTAAAGATTGGCTGCTGCTAACGGTGATTTAAAATATGTTTATTTAATGTAAATTCAATCAGCGTAGGGCTGACGGGGTTTTCAAAATTTCGCGATCTTCATTAGCTTTCTGGATAAAAATAGTTAAATAAATGTTGAGCTAAGATGTCACCTACATATGCGACTATCATTCATTACTTGCTACCTGTTTTACACGTGGAAGACAACGATCTCTGGACTGAATACAAAACTAGGCACGTACAACTGTTCCTGAGTAGCTTTATCATAGTTGTTGTAGTTTCTAAGGTTAATCGTACTAGAATACGAGTAAGTGTTTGTGATTTTACCTTGTATTTTAGTAGATAATAGGTACCTTTAACTGGTAACATTGCTGACTCCAGGCGGTGTCCGTTCCCGGCCTTGGTACCTTTACCTTGTCAGAATGGGCCCTGGACACCGGCCTAGGCAAACCCCTCATCCTCAGCAGACCTGTGTTCTTCCTATCAGAACATCTAGTTCAGTCCTTCAGCCTGCGTCAGCGTCAAGTATTCGTCTCTAACAAGGTAGCTGCACATTACGTATTTGAGTTCTTTTATATGGTACAGTAGACTTGTAATTTTAGTCTATATTATGTAGTGAGTTAGTATAAAATGTTACTTCTATTAAATCAAGAAGATAAAAAGAGAAGATTAAAACAATGCACGTAGGCAATAAAAACTGTAAGGATATTACTACTGAAGTCTAAATTGACTAAACCAGAAAAGTCATGAATTTTTTCAGTTTTAGGAACACATTTTATTACCACATTACCGGTCAAAGTTTTTGACTTATCGGAATTGACTTGTATCATAACAAACCCGTTTACTGTCTTGAATATGATCAAAGTTGTGTAAGGGTACATAGGATGAGCCACGAATACTGGAAAAATACCGGCATGGATCATAAACATAAATAAATGGCATTTTTGACCCCTATACTAATAGCATTAATTAACATACGGTTTTTTTTACTTACGGGCCAAAAAAGTTATTTTTTATGTTCATGATCCATACCAGGTCTTTTCTAGTATTCATGGTTGAGCCTTATTGGAACACATTTTTAACTATACAGTATTCATATAAAAAAAAACACAAAAAAAAAACTGATTGATATCCGAAGTACACAGTTGTTCTCGTCAAGTGGGTAAAAAAATATTTATGCAACTTCTTCGACAAAATACATTTTTAAACGTAATAAGCTTATGGTCCTCTAATTGGAAATTGGCAACAACGTTATGTCAATAGATACCAGGAAAACTGTTTATAATGTAGTTTTAAAGTGTGTTAAGTTCTAGTATTTCCATTATCACAAAAACAATAAATGTGTGCACGTTCTACGATTCTCTGAGTTATTTCATTCCACCTGCTTTGAAACCCATCAACCCGAGGCCAAATCCATCAAACAATGCGTATGTTGTTCCTGGCTTAGACCAAGCAAACAGTATAAGCATATTGTTATACCACCCCAGCATCTCGTATTCAGCGGAATCAGTTTACCTTCTATTAATGCTTTCATTTCACCTACCTTGCTAGGATCACCCAACACAATTATTTACCTCAAAATGTATAAAGATACATTAAAGCATAAAACTGTTTTTGCAAAAAAGCAGTTCATTGATGATTAAGTGTTCTAATAATGTCGATAACATTTACTCAGGTTGCTTGTCACATGGTCCACTACGGCGGTGTTGCTGCTTTCTGTCATATGGACAAGACAACTGTGAAGATTTGTATGCAGGAAGTTACTCAGGTACAAAAATTAACCAATGTATTTGGTAGGGCCTATATAAAATCAAAATATCCAAAAATGGAATATTAAACACTGAAAATGTAGGCCTATTGGCCTATTCACTTTTGTAAAGTACTAAAGTATTGAGCATTAATCATCTATCATGCTACCTTTTACTTCTTTTATCGTTCTTGGGGCTAACTGGAATACAGTACTGTCTTGAGGATGTTAAAATTATTTTTATATCAATTCATTATATTCTAACTTTAATGAGAAATGTATTAACTGAACTAACGGGTACAATTAAATACTTAACAAATAAATACTTAACATTTGTCATGAGCAAATACGCTGTACGGCTGCACAACAACAGAGTTCAGTACAGTAATACCAAACGTTACATGGATTTCTTATTTTTCTAGGCTTTGAAACGACTTTTATGGGAGAATAAGGACGTTGTACTTAGCCTTGGGCCTGTGGGGAGACTACAGGTCCGCGACAAACAAGTGAAGATGGAGTTTCTACCTCAGCTGGAGGATAAGGTACATGACCTGACAGAGAAAAGGAGATTGACAGAGAGACCGGTCTACCCATGGTCACCCAAGAAGATTCTGGAGTAGAACTTGACACTGTAGATTAATCGGAGACTCCAGCTGTTGAAGAAACATATGTGGATGGCTACGCCAGAGCAACGGAGACGGAGACTGACAGAAAGGACTCCAAAATTCTTGGACACCCTAGTCCTGATATAGTCGTAACCAATTGTGTAGGTACGCCACCGACAAAAGCAAAAATAATGAAGGGAACAGTTAATATTTAATAATCCTCACTGATATGTAATATTATAGTGTTTAAACAATACACATATTAGACTATTATGCTAGTTAATATTCACCATTTTACTTCAAATAAACCCATTTTTACGTATTATGGAGCTCGCTTTATGAATATCGTTTGCTGTTATTTTCCAAGTGAAAGTTAATTTGTCAACTCTAAATTCCCACTAATTCTGCTCTGTAATTACTCGTGCAATCATAGTTGATTAAACAATTGCTAGTGATCGGTAAGCAGATCAAATAGTGTACCAAGTAAACACAAACACTTTAGTTTGTTTGTTAATCAGCTTATTCACACTTCCCACTCGTTAACAACATACACGATGCTTTGGCATAAACGATACACAAACAAGTTACCTTTATTGCAATAAAAAACAGTTCTCGAGTCATTATTAACTACTACCTTATATTGTTGATGTTATGAAATTAAGTATATTTTGGAATTCACCAGAAATATTCCGTGAATTACCAAGTTGTAAATACAGAAAAGATAATGTTTTTTGTACAAAAAATTAAAATAAAATGTTTAAAGTAATTAATGCTCTATTTACTTGATAATTATCTGTTCTGTTATTATTTTCTTTGACTGGGACGGTGGTGACGTCCTGTAATCCAACTACTAGGTCACGAATTGTGGATAATTATAGGCATGCACTGTGGATGCAATACTCCCAGGTGTGGATTAACGACCGCACTAGTCCGACTATCCGCAGTACTATCCTGATAATTAGACCAATTATAAGGCAAAAATGTGGTTCGGATTCTACTATAAACTGTAGGTCCCTAGTTGCCATTGTCTGTATGGGTTATTAATTAACAGCTGTGTCTACGGAACATGTCGGCCTTAGTCACTAACAAGACATGATCGCGCCACTGATCCTACACTCATCTCCATTCATATTTGGCTTAAAGTACCTACATTAGTATGTTTGCCATTTCATAAGAAAGTATTTAAGTATTAAAGACTTAGTTTCCGCTGATGGAATCTTTATATCATTACGTAAGCGGTATTATTGATAAACATGAGATAGATAAAAATAATAACAGACATGGTTAAGGCACAAAATAAGAACAATTTCTGTTAATCATGTGATCAATCTGAAGTTAAAAATAGGTAGCTATTGTAGATTGAGATGGAAGAACAAAGACTGAGAAGTGCTCGGATTACGAGTTCCAAGAGTTCTTTATTAAAGCCTCTTTGTATGGCGGGAATGGCGTGATCAGAAGTTGGTGGTAGACACGGAAAATGTTAATGGCGTTTAAATCTGTGACTGTAAAATATTTAATAATTATCTTCGGACCTAAGGCAAGATAAAAATTGTTTTACATTTTGCCATAAATGATTAAAGAATCAAATCGATTCTGAAGGATAGTATTTTGTGGTTGCCAATTTATAGATCATGTTAGAGTAGGAGAGTTAGGTGTTTTCTGCACGTTATATAAAAGCTGCAAAAACAGCTATAAACCAGCTGTGAGAAAACCAGTTATATTTTACTAATTTTCGAATCAACAGAGAATCGAAAATACTAAGCGTTAATAATGGTAATCGGTAGCTTCGTGTATTATCTCTTTATAAAACACATATAATATCTTGCTTGGTATTAGTTATAAAGAAATTACAAGCACCCAAATCAAATAAAAATAATTTATAATTAAAAAACTTTTTTATAACAAAACTTTTTTAAACACACTAAAAAGTAGAAAATTATTCATAAATATGTGGGGAGTATAAATACTTGTAAGATTTAAAACGAAAAACGCGGGGTGCATACAATAGATAATTTACAATTACCTTCACTTATTGAACTAATGTATTATTATCAATTGCATGCACCCCACGTTTTTTGTTTTAAATCTTACAAGTATTTATACTCCCCACATATTTAAAAAATTATTTTCTACTTTTTAGTGTGTTTAAAAACGTTTTGTTTTAAAAAAGTTTTTTATTTATAAATTATTTTCTACTTTTTAGTTTTTAATGTGTGTGTATTTTAAATCTATTTCAAGCATCTATATCAGATTAAGACAGAGGCATGTGGGAAATCTAAGGTTTATTTGAGTTTCTTTTCATATAATTATGTATTAGATTGAATGTATGGCCTACCTAATAACTATAAATGTATATCAATCTATTTAATTTATTGTTTAATTTATAGAATACTAAATAATTAACAATTGACAATATTAACAAACACCTTTATATCTGCAATCAGATGGTTTATCTTTATTTTGAAATGTTTATTTGTATAAAGAATTCTCTTGGGAGCATAACCTGTACCTCTTAACCTCTGCTCTATAATTCGATAATTCGATGCCTCTTGAGACATTAAAAAAAAAATGATCGGATCAGGGTCTAGGTCTTTCTATGCCACCCACGGTATTAGCTTATATAGGCTACTGTAGGGATATTCACTAAAATTTGAAAATTAAAAACATTTTAACTGTCTTGATATTTTTTTTACGGTGAACTTTCGCCTAAAAGCAAAAAAGTATCAACAGATATAAACCACTTGTTGCTCATAATTTCTTCTTAACTTGCTATTTGGCAGTGTTTATTTTATTGACATTGGATGGCTTGATAACAAGGAAAATGTTTTAATATATACCTTCCTAAAGTTAAGTTACCATAAAGTATTGAAATAGATAACAGTGGTGCTCCCTATCATTGTTATCTGTAAGCTGTAACTGGCCAAGTTGTCGCGTTCACCGACAGAGTGCTATAGTGTACAGACTGTCCCAGCAATCAATAATCTTTTGGTAAATACAAATACCAAGTTAGTTAAAAATGCTACTGTGCCTTTATTCATGCCTGTAAAATCTCAAGGATGCAGACCCTAATCTTGCACAGTCTGTTTATTCAAAATAAAATATATAAATATGTACATATTTTTTGTATATATTTTTTAATAG